AAGTGTTAAAGGTTTGAGATTTGAGATTTTTTTTGCTTATATATATGTTTTATATATACGCTATTTTCTGGGAAAGTATACAGGTTTTTACGGTGAGGGGTTAGAAATGTTTTAAATGAAAAGTTTTCGAAAAACTTTGTTTTACTGACCCACTCAATTTTGTTTTGCGCCCCTCCAGGTTCAAGTTAGCAGAGCTTTGGTGGCCACGAGGAATCCAACGGTGTTCTGACAGAATTCACAAAAGTAGGACTCACCCTCGGGTGTGTTATCTTAGTAATTGGAAATTTTTTTTTAAAGCTTCCGAACTGTGTAAATGGTTACGTCACTCTCACGTGACGGCCAGCACGCCCTCCTTCGGGACGGGGTGTGTCACAGTTGAATTTGATTTGGGACTCTGAGAGTTTGGACGCGTGGTGGATTGGAGCATCAAAGCATTTTATCAAGAGTCTTAATATATTGTGGCATTGATTGGCAAACGGATATTGATTGGCAGAGAAGATTAACACATGCATTTAAATAGGATGCCAAGATGCGTAATCAACAGAGTCAACTCCACGTGTGCTTGGAGTTGGTTAGCCGTGCATGCAGGATGTGGTATATTTCAAATTAAAGATGCTTATCAGCATAAAGATATATGCTAATAATTGGTACATGCTATTAATTAGCACGTGGTGGTGTCGTGCTAGTAAGTGATAAGGCATAGCAATCTTTTGTTTTGCATGAAATTGTTATGCAAGAGGAAACATCGGTATTGACAGCAGTTGTACAACACGACGGCCATCGAGATGATAGTCCTATAAATACGAGACGCGTAGAAAACAGGAGCCTCTCCAATTTCAACACACAAAAACTGCCCTGCGCAAACTCTCTCAACAACTTTGAGATTTTTTATTTTCTCTTTTCGCTGACACATCTTCCGTTGGCATCAACAGCGCTGTGAAAGCAACCGGTGATATCTTAAGTCGGCATAGATAGCTCTGTCACCGTAGAATCAGCCGTTCTCGCAGCATCTTCCGTTGGCATCAACAGCACTGCGGCGAGGACAGTTGATTACCTATCCAAGTCTCGGTCGAGAAGGATTTCTGAATCCTTATTGGTCGAGGTCATCTCATCAGCCTTCTCGGCAAAGTGAGGTGTTACAGTTATTACATTCGGCACATTGAAAGCCGAATTTGATATTGAACTTCGTAAGAATAGTAACCTTGTCTTCAGGTTCGAGAGCCCAAGAGGCCGAGACGTGTTCCTTTCTCGGCCGCAATCGCAAGACGCAGAAGTCAGCCGCGCACCCAACGCAACATCAACAAATTTACTCCTCGGCCGAGCTCGGCCGACGAGTTGGCACGCCCCGCATTCACTGAAGGACGTAGTTAGCTTATTAATTACTCGGCCTGCGCGCCACGTAGGCTTTGTAGTTTCTAGGGTCAACAACTATTTATCAAAATAAACTAGAAAAGCACATTTTTTTACCAAAGCAAACTGAACTATTTATCAAAGTGAACCAGAAAACAATACTTTTTTTACCAAAACAAATTGAACTATTTATCAAACTAAACCACACTTTTTTACCAAAACAAACTGAACTATTTATCAAACCGAACCATATTTTTTTACCAAAGCAAACTGAATTATTTATCAAAGTTAAGTAGAAAACCACACTTTTTTACAAAAGCAAACTAAATTATTTATCAAATTGAACTAGAAAACCACACTTTTTTTCCAAAGCAAACTGAACTATTTATCAAACTCAACTATTTATCAAAGTGAACTAAAAAACCACACTTTTTTACCAAAGCAAACTGAACTATTTATCAAACTAAACCATAATTTTTTACCAAAGCAAACTTAACTATTTATCAAACTGAACTAGAAAACCATACTTTTTTACCGAAGTAAACTGAACTATTTTTCAAATTAAACCACATTTTTTTACCAAAGCAAATTGAACTATTTATCAAAGTGAATCATTTATCAAATCAAACCACATTATTTTACAAAAGCAAACTGAACTATTTATCAAACTGAATTAGAAAACCACACTTTTTTACTAAAACAAATTGAACCATTTAGCTAACTAAACCACATTTTTTTAGCAAAGTAAACTGAACTATTTATCAAAGTTAACTATTTATTAAAGTAAACTGGAAAACCACATTTTTTTACCAAAGCAAACTGAACTATTTATCAAACTAAACCACATTTTTTTACCAAAGCAAACTGAACTATTTATTAAAGTGAACTAGAAAACCACAATTTTTTACCAAAACAAACTGAACTATTTATCAAACCATATTTTTTTACAAAAGCAAACTGAACTATTTATCAAACTGAACTAGAAAACCACACTTTTTTACCAAAGCAAATTGAACTATTTATCTAATTATACCACATTTTTTTACCAAAGCAAACTGAACTATTTATCAAACTGAACTATTTATCAAAGTAAACTATTTATCAAAGTAAACTAGAAAACCACATTTTTTTACTAAACCAAACTGAACTATTTATCAAAGTGAACTAGAAAACCACATTTTTTTACCAAAACAAACTGAACTATTTATCAAACTAAACCACACTTTTTTACCAAAACAAACTGAACTATTTATCAAACTGAACCATACTTTTTTACCAAAGCAAACTGAACTATTTATCAAAGTTAAGTAGAAAACCACACTTTTTTACCAAAGTAAACTGAACTATTTATCAAACTGAACTAGAAAACCACATTTTTTTTCCAAAGCAAACTGAACTATTTATCAAATTGAACTATTTATCAAAGTGAACTAGAAAACCACAATTTTTTTACCAAAGCAAATTGAACTATTTATCAAACTAAACCACACTTTTTTACGAAAGCAAACTGAACTATTTAACAAACTGAACTAGAAAACCATACTTTTTTACCAAAGCAAACTGAACTATTTATCAAACTAAACCACACTTTTTTACGAAAACAAACTGAACTATTTAACAAACTGAACTAGAAAACCATACTTTTTTACCAAAGTAAACTGAACTATTTATCAAACTAAACCACATTTTTTTACGAAAGCAAACTGAACTATTTATCAAATTGAACTAAAAAACCATACTTTTTTTACCAAAGTAAACTGAACTATTTATTAAACTAAACCATACTTTTTTACCAAAGCAAACTGAACTATTTATCAAACTGAACTATTTATCAAAGTAAACTAGAAAACCACATTTTTTTTACCAAAGCAAACTGAACTATTTATCAAAGTGAACTAGAAAACCACACTTTTTTACCAAATCAAATTGAACTATTTAACAAACTAAACCACATTTTTTTACCAAAACAAACTGAACTATTTATCAAACTGAACCATACTTTTTTACCAAAGCAAACTGAACTATTTATCAAAGTTAAGTAGAAAACCACATTTTTTTACCAAAGCAAACTGAACTATTTATTAAACTGAACTAGAAAAGCACATTTTTTTTCCAAAGCAAACTAAACTATTTATCAAACTGAACTTTTTATCAAAGTGAACTAGAAAACCACACTTTTTTACCAAAGCACACTGAACTATTTATCAAACTAAACCACACTTTTTTACCAAAGCAAACTGAACTATTTATCAAACTGAACTAGAAAACCATACTTTTTTATCAAAAAAACTGAACGATTTATTAAACTAAACTACACTTTTTTACCAAAGCAAACTGAACTATTGATCATTTACAGGACCATTGTTTTATCGATCAATAGTCAAGGCCGCACTGGCAAATCTTTAAACCCACCAATTAAAAATGAAATTGAAATAATTTTCAATGAAAGGGTTCCTACGGAAAACATTTATACAGGTTCTAAGTGACAAACAGAATTAAGGTGGAGATTGGTAATTTGAACAACCTAATTCAAATAAGTAAAAAAAAAAAAAAAAAAATATATATATATAATAAAAGGAAGTGGGAATCAATGGGTTTCTCAAGCCTATGAAAAAGACGTCCCTTCCGGCTTCCAGGAGCAAGGGGGAGGGCAAGAAGAAAACAAGAAAAATAAAAAGGAGAAACCAACGGCAAATTCAAAAAAAAAAAAAAAAAAGAGAGAGAGAAACTGGCTGACAAAATGGCATTCAAATTCTAAACGGTTTGACTAACAGAAGTGGTGTTCCGTCAGGGGCAAGGATTGGAAAAAAAAATTGTTTTGCATGCTGGGCTTACTTCTAGCCCGTGTGCTCTTTAGTTAGGCTTCTGTTTCTTATAGTTTGTGTCCTTTTTCATTAAAATTCATGTCCTTTTTATTAAATAAAGTTATTATGTGGTTTTTGGTTAAATTAAAGTTAGTCAAAACCTTTTTCATTAAAGCTCCCTTTATTTTACAGGTGAAGTCTGAAGATGCTCTCCGATAATTGTTATTCACTAAGGCGATTATAATAGTGATATCCAAACATTTATTTTTATTTTTGAAATATTTTTTTAATTTTCGATCGTTGGATCGAATAAATTAAAAAGGAATTAGTAACAAAAATTAATAAGAGTGCGTAGGAGTTAAATCGAGGCATTTATTGGCATAAGGGCATACCAAAAACAAAAATAAAATGCCTTATTGGATTATTAGTTCTCGTGGTGACAGGGTAATTGGATATAGACAATTATTAGGCTAAACCGAAACTCTTTGTTAATTGTTAACACGTGGGGGTTGGCTCATGTGCTAATAATTTACAAAATTTTTAATTTTGGGCATAAATTTTAACAAATTCACCGTAGGAGCTTAAATCATAATTTTTTTTTTATATCTTCCAACTATCTTGTCATTGTGGGAACTAATAATCCAATTAAGCCAATATAAAATAAGCCTTATATAAAAGAGAGTTTTAACGAAAAACTCACGGTATGGTTCATTTTAACAAAAAACTATATTTGTACACTAAAAAGTTAAACCTGATACTATTTATTTTACCTTTTACTTTGTTCTTATCGTTAAAACATAAAGTTTTCAAAGGTTTTCGTTAATTTCCTTATATAAAAAGACAACAGAAAAATGAAAACAGGCGGGGAAGATTCCCGCTCACATTACACGGAAGAGCATTTCTTTCTCAAAATTCGGTAGTAAGAGAGATGGTCAGTCGGTCTGTGTGAGTAGTAAGAAGAAGAGGAAAATGAATTCGTCGTCGCTGGCAGAGGAGGCCCCTGATCTGGTGTGCCAGATCGACAACGCCCAGGGCATGGTCGACGCCCTCACCACCGTCCGATGGAAACGCCAGCAGGTGTGTCCCTCCCTCCCAACCTAAAACGCTTTCAATTTTGATGCTTGCTTGCTTGCTTTCTTTCTTTCTTTCTACTGGAAATTGAACGCAATTGCGGAAGAATCTTTTATCTTCTTACCACTAATTATCTAGGGTTTTGTCATAACTCTCTCTCTCTCTGTCGTCGCAATTTCGATAAATTCAGGACGCGGTGGTGGAATTATCAGAGCACGGCGTCGTTTTAATTGTGGAGGAAACCGGTTGTCTTCAGGCCAAAGTTTATTTGCAGCGTGAGGTAGTTACAGTTGCTGATTCATGGATTGTTATTTTCCTTTTGTAAATTACTAAAAGAATAAGGAAAAGGAAATGAAATTTGATGTTGACTTGGTTGTTTGTTTGTAGCTGTTTACTCGTTACGAATACAACGGGCAAGGCCGCCCCCGGTTTGGAATCAGTTTGGGGCTCTTCGTCGATTGCTTGAACACATTTTCAGTTCCTGGACAATCAACCATTCTCGAAATTCGCTATCCCGGCCCTGACATGCAGCTTCTTCTCAAGTATTTCTTTCACAGTTGAATTGAATATTTTGTTCATTTCTGGATGCAATGCATTAATACTTACTTGTTCATGATCCTTGTATTTATGCTTTCAATCCACGATAACTGAATCGAACTTTTTTCATTGCTATGTTATCTTCCCTGTTTTGTCAGGTCTGTTGATTCGTTGGATGCTTGCATTTATGCAGAGATCAGGACAAGAATCCCAGATACAGTTTCATGGGACTACAATTTTGAACCCGCAGGGAGCACCCCGCTCACCTTTACTGTTAAGGTATGCTGCTCTGCTCATTTATATTTACTCGTATCGAGGGTGTACATGCTGCCTCATTTGGTCTCTCAATCATTAAATTGGTGCCCTTTCGTACTCTGCTTCCAATGCAACAAGGTCGCTACTGAGGCGTGCCTGGAGAAGTCTTCTTAACATTCTTCTTATGTTTCCCTTTTCCATCTTTCCAAACCACTTTCTGACCCATACCTTCTGTATTAAAGATAAAAATAGTCCAAGGTTTATGTTTTAAAGTAAAAAAAACAAAGGGTTAGGTATTGACAAGAAGCTGCATCCACTTGTATTTCATCTCTTTTCCGTTTCATAAGCGGGTGCTGACTTCAAATAGTTTTCGAATCAACCTCTACTGCGCTTCTTAATTACTAGTTTTACCTGCCACTATGTGCGCATAGTTATCATGTTTGTCCTCAATATAAATTTTAAGGTCAACGAGAATATGAATGTTCAAGGTGTGTGACACTGTAATGCAATTGAAGTATTTATGTTCATGTTGTGCGCTTGTGTGCTCGTGCATCTGACTCTCTAACCAACAGGAAGTTTTAGCCCTTCAAGACAAAAGAATATTAAAAGGAACGACCTGCTGATTAACAATACTTGTGAAGGAAACAGTCATGCATTCGCTATATAGTGTATAGCACTCAAACATAAATGTTCTTGATGTATTGAATATGTTCTGACTCATGTTGAAGTCTTTTTCCTAATTGTTGTTTGGCATCTAATTTCATTAACAGTCTGCGGCGCTGAAGGAAGCAATCGATGATCTTGAGTGGCCTGGATCAAGCATCCAGATCAGTTTACAACCAGTTCCTTCAACTGTTACATTCAGAGGTGAAGGCCACGGAGATTTGCAGGTAAAAGATTGTTCTAACTTGAAAGCAAGCACTTACTGTGATGATTCGAATATTTTCAGAGAATACAGTTTGACTTTATTGCAGATAGACTTGATGTACTATGTGAACACCGATCTTTTGGTTGCATTTCATTGTGATCGTCAAGTATCTTACAGGTTTGTCTTGGATCACTTTCGAACCATTACATCCACTGTGTCACGTCTGATTTCTTAATGTTGGTTCTTACCCTGATGTTCTTAGGTATAAATACAAGTTTCTTCGAGCAACTACTTCAAACATACCTAGCAGCGTCATTAAAGACAACAGAGGAAGCAAGTTGACTATTGGGAGAGGGGGATTGCTGAAAGTTCAACACCTAGTTTCAGTGGCAAGACCATCCACTTCACACCCTCGGATTGATTCTGCTGGGTATCAGCAACCCAGTCGAATTGCTTATATCGAGTTCTTTGTCAAACCAGAGGAGGATGAAGACACTGCCAATGGTTAGTAGGCAGCAACTCGAGTTTGTAGCTACAGTTTTCGCATTGTAATTTCAGACGTGAATCTCACTTGGTGTCCCCGCTAAAACTAATTGTGCAAGTGTTTTCTTTCGTGCACCAAAAGGAATGACATGTTTTCCCGTAATAATTATGCGCATTCCTCCGATAAATATAGCAATCTGATGGTATTCGTTTTACAAATACAACGTTTCAAAGTTAAATTTGGCAAGGTTGAAAGCGAATGAAGAAGTTTATTCCTACTCCGTGGCAGAGTGCCCGAGCACAAGTTATCAGCCTGAAATATCTTATATCTTAGAGGCGTCAGCTGTGGCTCGACTCAAGGCAACGGCAGTCTTTGAGCCAGACGGGCGACCCAAATGCTTGCTGATGAAATCCCCGGTCACCAAGAGCTTCGCCAGATCCACATTGGTTTTCACACCGAGTCCATAAAGCATGTATACAACATCTTCAGTGGCGACGTTACCTGAAGCTCCTTTAGCATACGGACACCCACCTAAACCCGCAATAGAGGAATCCACTGTGCTAATCCCCATCTGTTCAAACGAAAATATTATGGATTAAGAGTTTGCAACACATTATTTACTCATGAAACCATCTTCAGCGTGGAAGATTGTTCATTGTGTATCGTACTTCTACCTATCATTCATATGTAAAACGATGTTCTTTTACTTTCTGAAAAACAATAATATGAGACAATTTTGACATGTTAAGATCGCTTACTTGAAGAGACACTAGAATGTTTGAGAGAGATTGCCCATAGGTGTCATGGAAGTGAACAGCAAGCTTTTCAACAGGAACAGCAGCCATTACAGCTTCCAGCATGGGAACAACCGTCCCTGTTCCAAAGAAAGACAAAAGAAGAAAAAAGAAAATTACATACGAGGCCAAAAATATGGAACCAGAGACAGATACGATAGTTTGAAAACAATAAAGTCGACAATCGTATGTCTCTTGGAGGAAACACAAAAGTTCACCCCATGATCAACACCCATCTTTAGGGGCCTTGTCTAGTACAATCGTATAAGGTCTATCAAGCAAAAATGCTCGAGTTCAATTCTTGGATGCAGCCATCCAAGGACTCGACATATGTGAAGTCAACAAGGGGTAACGACCTTCATTGAATATAAACACATTTTCTCCATCCTAATGTTGGGTATCCGAAAGATCCATCCAAATCGAACTAAAACATCTGCATCAGTATTGGTTATCTCCATCCTAATGTCGAATGATTATGCCTAAAATGAGGTAAAATTTGTGCCAAATGGTATGTCTTACTCGAACACGAGCTAAAAGATAAGAAGAAATAATTATTCGAGAGTCCAGATACAGAAGCTTTAAAACAAATGAGAATGAACAAAACTTTGGACAAAGTTCAGTGTGTTACCAGGTGTACCAACACCAATTGTGTCACCAAGAGAAATTTCAAAGCAGCCCATGTTGTAAAGTTCTTTTGCTACATATGCCACTCTTGATGGAGGAATTGCTCCCTCCACTGGACATCCAACGACGCACGAGACATACCTATCCATGGTAAAAACAAGTTTATTCATAAAAGAACCACCTAGAAGAAAAAAATGTTCCTTTTTGTCGTTAAAGAAGTAGAAAAGTTAGATTACCACCTAAAGGATAATGAAAATGATACATAACGTTGAACTGTACTTCCATCTAACTAATTATACCGAGCTCATAAACCAAACTCCTGTAAAGGCATTCATACAACCAAGCACAGAATTTCAACTTTTTAAATAATCACAAGACAGTAAACTCTTATCTGCTGCAAAATCTTTGAAGTGAGATATACCATTCTATCTAACCCACCAGATCAAACACTAAATTCTTTATCCTCTATCGCAAAGGGGGAAGAAGGTAAAGCATAACGCCCTACGCAAATGGAGAAACAACAAAATCGAAAACCCCAAGACAAGATTTAATGACAGCATAAGCATTCTGTGGAGTGATCTATGGCCTTGTATCATGTCCAGCACTGTTTTCTCACATACTTTTATGTTTTCAATTTTCATGCTATGTTATTGTCTGTAAGTAACAAGAAGATGCGAGGGGTCGGAAACCAAAGATGAATGGATGAAAATATGAATTAAGTAGTGCAACAGCAAGCTCGTGCTTTCATCTGTCATCTCCAAGGGTTAGCCACAATGTTAAGGCAACTGAGGCCATGTGTCAAGGAAGGTTAGCCAAATGATAGCATATTTTGTGGCTTATCATTTCCTTTCTTGAAAATTGCATTGTAAAGGAAGCGTGCCCTTGGTAGAGAAAATACAGAGATCTAACTGAGACATCATGTACGAGAATGGTAGCATAGAGTAGCTAGAAGTGCATACCAATCTACTTAACAGTTAACATCCATTTAATGCAAGCACAGAGATTTAACCCTCTGAACGTACTCTAACGTTATACAGATTTTTCCTCGCAAGGAGACAGAGAGAACAAGAGAGCATGAAAGAGAAAAAAAATTCATATAAACCCTACTTTAATCTTGATAAACCATCCATTTCATTTCTTGACCCATAAGATGATTTGAAAGGATAAGGAGGTAGCTGTCGTGCTTAGTTTATTTCAGTGAAAATGAGATAGAGAACATACCCTCGTACAGGAATTGTAAGCTCTTTTGCAGCACGAGTTACAGCACGATAACGAACAAGACTTTCTTCAATGCTACAATTGATGTTTGACTTTGAAAATGATTCAGAAGCTGATGCAAATACTGCTATATCTTTAGCACCTGCTGCAACAGCTGCTTCAAACCCCTGTAAAAATTGACGTTATATGTCAGATAAGTTGCATGACGAATGTCTGGTATTTCTAGAGATCACTCACTTTTAAATTGGGTGTCAGTACAGGCAATCTAGCACCCTCCAGATTGTGAACTGCTTCCATTACGTCCTTTGCGTCTGCTAGCTATATAGACAGGAAAATGGAATGTATCCATTACTAAGATTCAGCTTCAAAATTAAATTAAGACGAGCTAGGTTTGTTTACTTTCTTGAAATAGGAGAAAAGTTTGATAAATTCACCGAACCTCAGGGGAGGTCTGTATTTTATTAAATAGCTATTCCCACTTTTCCCAGTAAAACCGCACCTTGTAAGATAAAATTGAAGTTATCAATTCTAAAGGGTAAAATTACCTGAGGAACCCATTTGGGCGATACAAAACTCGTAGCCTCAACAACAGACAACCCACAAGATACCAGTCTCTGAATCAGTTCAATCTTTACGGATGCAGATATAGTGTTCTTTTCATTTTGTAGTCCATCCCTTGGACCTACTTCTACTATCTTCACAAACTTTGGTATGCCTTTCAAAAACTGTTTCGTTCAAGGCAAATCAGTAAAAAAAAAAGGAAACGTTGTCTGTTAATCAAAGATCACGGCATCCTCATACGATATTTCAAAACAAGAAGAGAACACATCATCATCTAATTTAAGTTATTGAAGCACCTTATTTGTTATATCTTTGTCATTGCACTTGGCGTTATATTGATCTGACAAATACCATGAATCACACACATTTCCAAATACCCTGTGATTCCTGCCTAAGCTCAAGGTCCGTTGATTGAAGGAGTCACCATGGGACAAGTCCCTGTCTCTTGTATGTCTTTTCCATGGAAAGCCCTCTCTTGCATATTCATCATAATCTTCGCTGAAAATAAATAGAGGTTAAGGTTAGATTATCGCTCTAAGATTATTACAGTACAAAGCAGCTGGACTGCATTATTCTAAAGGCAAGAAACAATTAAGAACTGACTTATTGAACTTAAACACGGAATAAGAAGATTAATAGATCAATTTGATCTTTAACTAAAAGGTAAGGGGAAGAACAAGCTCTTGTCTCTATCCCTTGGACAATTTTCAACGATGTCCCTTTGATCAGTCAATGGTCACCATAGCACATGCTTGCACATATGCGTGCATGGGCACAAGTGCACACACATGGACATAACATAAAAGGAACACTGTCAGTTTTTGAGTGTTTTGTAAACACGAAAGCACATGAATGGATACATATGTACATTCTGAGTGTTCCACAAACCAAACACCACACAAATCACTTACTCGCAGCTATTGGATGTGCTGCAACTTCTTCCTTCAATCCAACAGTTTCCCATTGCCGTATCATCTGATCTAGATCTGCAAGCAGTAGACGAGAACCTCTGAATCCGATCCATGGTACTCATGCTAGGCAATTTGTCAAAACCGAGTGGCTCCTCCAAGCTCGACATGGTGGAAGTAGACGGAAAAAGACCAACTGAATTCATTTCAACACACAAGTAAATATCTGCTAGAAGCATAGAAAACTTACGTTTCTAGCATGAAACCACCAACACACCATGAACAGGTTATGCAAACAGGATAAGTATACATTAACAACATTCTCCTACTTTGCCAAAGCAGCCAAATAACCATCAAACCAATAAAAAAAAAGCTTAATCTCAGCTACAATCTGTATGGAAAGCAAATTAACAATAAAAACATTAAACAGTCCAATGAACATAATTAAGCATCAAAACCAGAACTCTGTTTGGCTCCCAACAAAACCAAATTCAAACAAAAAATGTTTTAAATAGTTTCAAATTTATAATGAAAAAAAAAAGGAGGAAGGTGAGGGAAACAGACCTGAATTCCTTGAGGGAGGAAGGGAAAAATTAGGGTTAGGGTTTCTGAGAAGAAAAACAGAAACCCTACAAAATGGGAATAATTTAGGCAGTTTGAAATCGTTATGTTATGGATGGTTAGATGAAAAAAAGAGTTCGAAGAAGAAGAAGAGAAGGTGATGAAACGTGACGGAGTTGGTTAAAGCGTTTGTAATTGTAAGGGTTGATGGGATGGGATGGGATGGATTGGTAGGTTGGTGGACGACGTTAAATTATAAATTCAAATATTTTTCTTGATTACAAATTACGCTTTTTCGGATTTTTTGTGTTTTTGTTCTTTCTGTCTTTGTTTGTGTTTCTTTTTGTCCACAATTTTCTTGTTGTTGAATGGAAGACTGGTGAGGCATTCACATCTCTCCCGTCTCTCACGTTGCGTGTGGGTAAATTGTAATGGCGCGGGAGGTCGGAAGAGGTGGTAGGTTGTTTTCAGTTGGAAGTTGGTCACTTTCTTTTATTATTATTATTTTTTTTTGGACAAGGCCTTTTATTATTTTTAATGCTTGGTCTCTCCTCTTACACGCTTCCTTTAATTCATGGTCCTAGACTCCTATACCCAATTCCTGGTCTATTTTATTTGACAAATCATAATCACAATCTTTTTTTACACTTGCACATTTCTATTTAATTTTGGTCATTAATTCTGTTTGATTATTTAATCTAATAGTTAAAAATAAGAAGTGTGTAAAAATTAATAGAACAAGTTATAAAACTTAGTGTGAATGCCACATATGTAATTATGTAAGATAGCAAACCAAGTTAGACATTTGGTGGCAACCTTTAAAAGTCTTAGGTAAAAGTCCTAGCATAGTAAGTCCATGCATGTAAGGATGTGTCAGATGAAAATCCCTATAAATAGAGGTATGCTTGTAACCTCATCACAACACACCAGATCAAGAGTGAAAAGTAATAATACCTATATCCCTCCCTTCTCTTTACATGCATCCTTTGTGTAATACAGTTAAAAAAACAAACAGCGTGATCCACTACACCAATTCCACTTCTATCTCTAACAAAGGTTATCTCTCTCACTCTCTAACCCTAGCCAGTTTTCACTTCCTTAGCCGAAAAGTGCTTCCTCCAAGGATCTTATTGTTCATGTTCCTTCTCTGCCTCACCTGCTTGGTATCTCTTAGCCAAGAGCTGCTAGCACTATGCCTTCTCCTAGTTCTCAATTTAATAATTACTTATATTTTTTATTTATTTGGTGTAGCTCTTGATTACTAACCTAGTGTTTATTTGTGTTAATTTTACTACAATTTTAGATGGTGCGGTACAATCGCCCATCTTGAACTGCATAATTAATTTTACTGCAATTTTAGGTGGTGCGATATAATCACTCATCCTACACTGCATATTTAATTTTCCTGCTGCTTGAGTGGTGTGGTATAATCGCCCATTATACACTATATTATTTCAAAGAGGGTGGTGCAGTACAATCGCCTTCCTCATTAATGTCTAAATTATGTGAATCTCAAGCCTGAAGATTCGAGTGCTTATCATTTTGGATTGAAGTTCAAAATGAAAAATTTGTAAAAACCAGAAGTTCTAACACTATATTCCTTCAGAATCCATATTATTGCAAGTTCTTACACATCTCATGTTTCAGAAAAAGAAAATGGCGGACTTGGCAAAGCTTGATTTTGTTGCCCTTGATATCATTGGGAAAAACTACCTTACTGATGCGAAAATTAACTTAACACACAAATTAAACCCTCTTTTGACAATTGTAGTATATGTATAAGTAGGGATCGTTTTGGACTGGGGATTAGGAGGGCTTGCTAATAACCTTTAAACTGACTCAAAAACATAAAACTAAACTTAAAAACACTTAACAAGACTCACAAGACTCAAAGCAAACTTAAAATACTCAAAACAGCTTAAAACAACCGAAGAAACTTAAACTAAACACTAGGAATGACTTTGGACGAAAATTGACTTTTACTTGAATCAAAACACTTAAAAACACAAACTAAAACAGATTCTAACTAATTAGACACACTAAAGTAAAGGGGTATTTGAGTTTTGGATGAATTTAAAATAAAAGCAAGTAACTAAAACTTAAGACAAATTTTGGACGAATTTAGTTGAATTAGATGGATGATAAGCTAGCTAGAGGCTCTTTCTCCACACATGACATGTAAGCAAACAAATCAATTTCCAGTTACTCCTTCATTGAATTATAAACGACAATGCCCCAAATTAACCGTGACATCACTAGTTAACCCTCAGATTTTCCTTGTATTATTGAATTGGATGACATCATTCGACAACCCAAAACATTCTTCAAAACTTCCCTACATGACATCATAATAGAGATACAATCAAAGATCATTACGTTTAATGAAAATCATAAGCATTGACAAAGCACTTGCAACTATGACATCATGTCACTCATGCTAGGAATTAAACTTAACGCGATCGTTTATAAGTGACCTCCACTACTTGTAAATATAAGTTTGTAACGATTATGTAAAACTTTCTTATATTCTAGCAACGGATTTATGCATGCCAATTAAGTGTCGACCCTTAATCAAAAAATACAAATAAGTTATCTATCAAATAGTTAAGCCAATTGCATTCACGATTCAAGAACTCATAACTGGAATTTATTAACTCAAATTGCACACATAATCATGGCTTTGAAATCACCCTTAGCCAAGAGGGGTTTAGCCACTCATGTTCACAACAAAACGAAAGAAAATGAATTTAAACATTGGAAACAAAAGAAAGAAAACACCAAAACGCTCCAACGATCCAAGTTGAATAGCAAGCACGTCCAAGCACTTTCCTTCCCTTCCTTTGCTACGGTACAAGGTGTTGGTGAGTGTTTGAAGGTTTGTTTGTATGGAGGAATGGATGTGAAGATGAATGGATGTGTTTGGATGAAGGTTGTGTTGAAATGGTGGTGAATGTTCTAACAAAAACTGAACTCTATGGCTGCCACACACATTTCCTTTTATAGAGGAAGTGCACGGCAATGGAAGGGAAAATGGTGGTGTATGCAATGATTCAAAGGTGAAAGTGAAGTAATGATGCAAAGCATGGGGGGTAAAATGGAGTGGTGTTGCAGCAATGAGTGCATGGAGTGGTGTTGAAATGATTCAAAGGTGCAAGTGAAGTAATGATGCAAAGCATGGGGGGTAAAATGGAGTGGTGTTGCAGCAATGAGTGCATGGAGTGGTGTTGAAATGATTCAAAGGTGCAAGTGAAGTAATGATGCAAAGCATGGGGGGTAAAATGGAGTGGTGTTGCAGCTATGAATGCAAGTAGGGAATATGAATGATTGTGCACATGGTAAAGAAAGGAAAGGGAGGTGGATGTTGGAAATGTGCCCTAAAACCAATCATATGATGATACTTTACGGACATTTCACATGTTAAACTAATCTAGTTTAATATCAAGGGCAAAGATTATTGTTTGAGCCGTCTCATATAAATGTTATACGCCTAAACGATAAGTCCAAGGAATATGTGATTGGGAGAATGCGATCTAAAGAAGTTAGATTCATGAGACCATTCTTTCGTAGACACATCCTAAACGTTCCTGATCATAGGATTGCCAATTGGGCATTGACAGTCCGTTAAGATCAGTACGTGCTGTGTCTTCTCTCAGGGAGAGTGACTAGTCTCGAGTCATTGGTGTGTGTGACATCAAGACAAGCATGTAAGTGCTCAATAATGAATGAGTCCACTGAACACGATCAACGAGGAGTTCTCATACTCATGTCACATGAGAACTCATGGTTGGGATAATGCAAAGTAGTCCTTTGACCTGAGGCATCATAGTTGTCTTGTGGTTAAGTCCTTGATCTTTGATTATGTCAAAGTCACTCCATCAGGCGGGTGTCCACGGCATCGTCGGGGTTAAGCCACTTAGCCATGGAGGCAAGTGAATGCGCAACAAGGGATCTCTAACCTTCAAACCGTTTAAGGGAGAATACTCTATGATATGATTAAGAATCTCTGGCCAGAGTATGAATGATATTTAGGAAGTCGTTCCAAATCACATTCAAGGCAATCATATAAGCACACGAATCACATTGGATAGTAGACATGAATAAACTATCAATCCAAACAATGTGATCAAGAGTATTGTATTAGAGAAAGATCGTATTGCATTGTAATCCTAAACTGAATAGGTTCTCCACCTCTTCTGATTAGCTTGGGTAACCATGACATACTGCTAGGTGTCACTCATGGTTTGTGGAAGCCCTAAACGTGTATAATCACTAAAGGGAGAATTGAAAGCAAGTTTCAATTCACAATCGATTTGAAAGAGTTTTAATCGCCCACTGCCTCGCTAAAAGGAACCTAATGGATCGTACACCGTGTAAGGCATAGATTGAAGAAACAATGGAGATGAGTAAGAATAATTAAATGGTTTAATTATTTATGGCAAGGATTAATTAATATGTTAATTAATCAAACGAATCAAGTTCGTTAAAAGACCACGGGTTAGTTTTGGGCCTCAAGGCCCAATGGGCTTCGAACGTCAAGCCCATTGACTTAAGTTGTATGACAACTTAATGACAAATAATTCACAATGGCTTTAAAAGCCCAATGAAACCCTATGGCCGGCCATTTTGTTAAAGGAGTGAGTTTTGGACTTAATTACAAGTTTGCCACTCCAATGAATAAAGGTATAAATATGACTTTATAGCCAAAATTCATTTAGGGTTTCTTTTGGAGAAAATTGAAGAGAACATGTCTGTCCCTTTCTCTCTAAAGAGGCCAGCTTCCTTGGAGGGTGTAGCTAGCAATCCTACTACTCCAAGGTCACTCATTTCTTCTCCAATCTAACCTTGGTGAAGAGACTTAGAGGTTCCCAATTTTGGGAACTTGGAGAACCATTTCATCCATCCAAATCCATAGATCTAAGATGCAAGGAATGAAGACCCTCTCTTTGGGTGATTAGCCTTTGCTTATGCAAAGAGGAATCTACAAAGGTATAATTTCTCAACTAACAAATGTTGTTTTAAGTTGAGTCAAGGTTCACCAATCTACTAGGCTTTGAATTTCATGGTTAATGTTTTGTTTTTAAGTGCATACAAGCATGATTCCGCCTTTTAATTGTTAATTGCATGCTATAGATGTTGCTTAAATGAACATGTTTTTCACAAAATTTTCCTTCATTGGAATGGTGCAGAAATGAGTCAAAGGTGCAGCAAGAGTCATGATGCACGACATGGGATTCCAAAGGTGGTGGATGGTGC